ATTTATAGATGGATTTATAGATGAATTTATGAGATGGATTTACAGATGAGATTATGATAGTATAAATAGATTTATAGAATGAATTTATAAGATAGATTTATAGATGAATTTATAGAATGAATTTATAGATAGAATTATGAATGGATATAGATGAATTTATAAAATGAGATTTATAAATGAATGAGATGATTGAGATGAATTTATAGATAGATTTATAAATGCGAATTTATGAGATGGATTTATAAAATGAATTTATAAATAAATGAGATAATTATAGATGAGATTTATAGATAGATATTGATTGAATGAATTTATAGATGAATTTATAGATGATGAATTTATAAGAATGGATTTATAGATGAAATGATGAATTAGATGGATTTACAGATGAATTTATAGATGGATTTATAGATGGATTTATGGATGGATTTATGGATGGATTTATAGATGGATTTATGGATGGATTTATAGATGGATTTATAGATGGATTTATGGATGGATTTATAGATGGATTTATGGATGGATTTATGGATGGATTTATAGATGGATTTATAGATGGATTTATAGATGGATTGATGGATGGATTTATGGATGGATTTATAGATGGATGATGATTGAATAGATGGATTTATGGATGGATTTATGGATGGATGATGATTGAATAGATGGATTTATGGATGGATGGAGATCAATGATGATTGGATGGATTTATGGATGGATGATGATTGGATGGATTTATAGATGGATTGATAGATGGATTTATGGATGATGGAGATCAATGATGATGGGATGGATTTATGGATGGAGATGGATGATTGATTGGATGGATTTACAGATGGATTTATAGATGGATTTCTAGATGGATGATGATTGGATGGATTTATGGATGGATGGAGCTGGATGATGGATGGATGGAGGGATGGATGATTGAATAGATGGATTTATGGATGGATGGAGATGGATTTGAATAGATGGATTTATGGATGGATGGATTTATAGATGGATTTATGCATGGATGGAGCTGGATGATGGATGGATGGAGGCATGGATGATTGAAAAGATGGATTCATAGATGGATTTATAGATGGATTTACAGATGGATTTATAGATAGATTTGTGGATAGATGATGATTGGATGGCTGGAGTTGGATAATGGATGGATGGAGATGGATTTATGGATGGATGGAGCTGGATGATGGATTTATAGATGGATTTATAGAAGGATGGAATGGATGATGATTGGATGGATTTATAGATGGATTTATAGATGGATGATGATTGATGGATTTATGCATGGATGGAGATGGATGATGGATGGATGGAGGCATGGATGATTGAAAAGATGGATTTATAGATGGATTTATAGATGGATTCATAGATGGATGATGATTGGATGGATTTATAGATGGATTTATAGATGGATGATGATTGGATGGATTTATGGATGGATGGAGATGGATTTATAGATGGATGGAGCTGGATGATGGATGGATGAAGAGATGGATGATTGAATAGATGGATTAATGGATGGATGATGATTGGATGGATTTATGGATGGATTTATAGATGGATTTATAGATGGATGATGATTGGATGGATTTATGGATGGATGAAGATGGATTTATGGATGGATGGAGGGATGGATAATTGAATAGACGGATTTATAGATGGATTTATAGATGGATGGAAATGGATGATGGTCAGATGGATGGAGATGGATTTATGGATGGATGGATGGAGCTGGATGATGTTTGGATGGATTTATGGATGGATGGATGATGGATGGATGAAGGGAGGGATGATTGAATAGATGGATTAATGGATGGATGATGATTGAATGGATTTATTAATGGATGAAGATGGATTTATGGATAGATCAATGATGATTGGATGGATTTATAGATGGATTTATAGATGGATGGAAATGGATGATGGTCAGATGGATGGAGATGGATTTATGGATGGATTTATGGATGGATGGAGCTGGATGATGGATGAATGAAGGGATGGATGATGATTGGATGGCTGGAAATGGATGATGGATGGCTGAAGATGGATTTATGGCTGGAGCTGGATGATGATTCGATGGATTTATGGCTGGAAATGGATGATGATTGGATGGATTTATGGATGGATGATGATTGAATAGGATGGATTTATGGATGGAAATGGATGATGATTGGATGGATTTATAGATGGATGATGATTGGATGGATTTATGGCTGGAGCTGGATGATGACTGGATGGATTTATAGATGGATGATGATTGGATGGATGGAAATGGACGATGGATGGCTGAAGATGGATTTATAGATGGATTTATAGATGGATTGATAGATGGATTTATTGATGGATGATGATTGGATGGCTGGAAATGGATGATGGACAGCTGAAGATGGCTGGCTCTGGACAATGATTGGCTGAAGATGGATTAGCACCCACCCCCTCATTCCCTGGGGCAGGATTTCCTGTCGGACATGGCGATGACGGAGGTGGATCGCTTCCTGGACCGGGAGCACCTCATCTTCCGCGAGAACACCTTGGCCACCAAAGCCATCGAGGAGTACCTGAAGCTCATCGGCCAGAAGTACCTCAAGGACGCCATTGGTGGGTCCCAGGGGGGTGGGGAGGGGTCTTCTACTGGTCAGGAGATGTTTGGGTGGTCCCTCCATGCTTGGGTGGTCCCTTCTCCCATCCTTGAGATGGTTGGGTGGTCCCTTCTTGGTTGGGTGGTCTCTGAGTTTGGGTGGTCCCTTCTTGGTTGGGTGGTCCCTTCTTGATTGGGTGGTCCCTTCTCCCATCCCTGACATTTTTGGGTGGTCCCTTCTTGGTTGGGTGGTCCCTTCTTGGTTTGGGAGGTCCCTTCTTGGTTGGGTGGTCCCTTCTTGGTTGGGTGGTCCCTTCTCCCATCCAGGAGATTTTTGGGTGGTCCCTTCTTGGTTTGGGTGGTCCCTTCTTGGTTTGGGAGGTCCCTTCTTGGTTGGGTGGTCCCTTCTTGGTTTGGGTGGTCCCTTCTTGGTTGGGTGATCCCTTCTCCCATCCCTGACATTTTTGGGTGGTCCCTCCTTGGTTGGGAGGTCCCTTCTCCCATCCAGGAGATTTTTGGGTGGTCCCTTCTTGGTTTGGGTGGTCCCTTCTTGGTTTGGGTGGTCCCTTCTTGGTTGGGTGGTCCCTTCTCCCATCCTTGAGATGTTTGGGTGGTCCCTTCTTGCTTTGGGTGGTCCCTTCTTGATTTGGGAGGTCCCTTCTTGCTTGGGTGGTCCCTTCTTGCTTTGGGTGGTCCCTTCTTGGTTTGGGTGGTCCCTCCTTGTTTGGGTGGTCCCTTCTGGATTCGGGTGGTCCCTTCTCCCATCCCTGACATTTTTGGGTGGTCCCTCTGGATTTGGGTGGTCCCTTCTTGGTTGGGTGGTCCCTCCTCCCATCCTTGAGATGTTTGGGTGGTCCCTTCTTGGTTGGGTGGTCCCTTCTTGGTTTGGGTGGTCCCTTCTTGGTTTGGGTGGTCCCTTCTTGGTTGGGTGGTCCCTTCTCCCATCCCTGACATTTTTGGGTGGTCCCTTCTTGATTTGGGAGGTCCCTTCTTGGCTTGGGTGGTCCTTTCGTGGTCCATCGAGATGTTTGGGTGGTCCTTTCTTCATTGGGTGGTCCCTTCTCCCATCCAGGAGATTTTTGGGTGGTCCCTTCTTGGTTGGGTGGTCCCTCCTTGGTTTGGGTGGTCCCTTCCTCCCATCCCTGAGATTTTTGAGTGGTCCCTCCTTGGTTTGGGTGGTCCCTTCTTGGTTTGGGTGGTCCCTTCTGATTTGGGTGGTCCCTTCTTGGTTTGGGTGGTCCCTTCTTGGTTTGGGTGGTCCCTTCTTGGTTTGGGTGGTCCCTTCCATCCTGAGATGTTTGGGTGGTCCCTTCTTTGGTTGGGTGGTCCCTTCTTGATTTGGGTGGTCCCTTCATGGTTTGGGTGGTCCCTTCTCCCATCCCTGACATTTTTGGGTGGTCCCTCCTTGGTTTGGGTGGTCCCTCCTTGGTTGGGTGGTCCCCTTCTTGGTTGGGTGGTCCCTTCTTGGTTGGGTGGTCCCTCCTTGATATGGGTGGTCCCTTCTCCCATCCCTGAGATTTTTGGGTGGTCCCTTCTTGGTTGGGTGGTCCCTTCTTGGTTTGGGTGGTCCCTTCTTGGTTTGGGTGGTCCCTTCTTGGTTTGGGTGGTCCCTTCTTGATCTGGGTGGTCCCTTCTCCCATCCCTGATATTTTTGGGTGGTCCCTTCTTGGTTGGGTGGTCCCTTCTCCCATCCCTGACATTTTTGGGTGGTCCCTTCTTGGTTTGGGTGGTCCCTTCTTGGTTTGGGTGGTCCCTCCTTGGTTTGGGTGGTCCCTCCTTGGTTTGGGTGGTCCCTCCTTGGTTGGGGTGGTCCCTTCTTGTTTTGGGTGGTCCCTTCTTGTTTTGGGTGGTCCCTCCTTGGTTGGGTGGTCCCTTCTTGCTTGGGTGGTCCCTTCTCCCATCCAGGAGATTTTTGGGTGGTCCTTTCTTGGTTTGGGTGGTCCCTCCTTGGTTTGGGTGGTCCCTCCTTGGTTTGGGTGGTCCCTCCTTGGTTTGGGTGGTCCCTTCTTGGTTTGGGTGGTCCCTTCTTGGTTTGGGTGGTCCCTCCTTGCTTGGGTGGTCCCTTCTCCCATCCAGGAGATTTTTGGGTGGTCCTTTCTTGGTTGGGTGGTCCCTTCTTGATTTGGGTGGTCCCTTCTCCCATCCCTGACATTTTTGGGTGGTCCCTCCTTGGTTGGGTGGTCCCTTCTTGGTTTGGGTGGTCCCTTCTCCCATTCCTGACATTTTTGGGTGGTCCCTCCTTGGTTTGGGTGGTCCCTTCTTGGTTTGGGTGGTCCCTCCTTGGCTTGGGTGGTCCCTCCTTGGTTTGGGTGGTCCCTTCTTGATTTGGGTGGTCCCTTTTTGGGTTGGGTGGTCCCTCTTTGGTTGGGTAGTCCGTTCTTGGTTTGGGAGGTCCCTTCTTGGTTGGGTGGTCCCTCCTCAAATCCAGGAGATTTTTGGGTGGTCCCTTCTTGATTTGGGTGGTCCCTCCTCCCATCCCTGACATTTTGGGTGGTCCTCTGATTTGGGCGGTCCCTTCTCCCACCCAGGAGATTTTTGGGTGGTCCCTTCTTGGTTTGGGTGGTCCCTTCTCCCATCCCTGACATTTTTGGGTGGTCCCTCTAGATTTGGGTGGTCCCTCCTCCCATCCCTGACATTTTTGGGTGGTCCCTTCTTGGTTTGGGTGGTCCCTCTTTGGTTGGGTGGTCCCTTCTTGGTTTGGGTGGTCCCTTCTGGATTTGGGTGGTCCCTCCTCCCATCCCTGACATTTTTAGGTGGTCCCTCTAGATTTGGGCGGTCCCTTCTCCCACCCAGGAGATTTTTGGGTGGTCCCTCCTTGGTTGGGTGGTCCCTTCTCCCATCCCTGACACTTTTGGGTGGTCCCTCTAGATTTGGGTGGTCTCTCCTCCCACCCCTGACATTTTTGGGTGGTCCCTTCTTGTTTGGGTGGTCCCTTCTTGTTTGGGTGGTCCCTTCTTGTTTGGGTGGTCCCTCCTTGATTTGGGTGGTCCCTTCTTGATCTGGGTGGTCCCTCTGGATTTGGGTGGTCTTTTCTCCCACCCCTGACATTTTTTGGGTGGTCCCTCTGGATTTGGGTGGTCCCTCCTCAAATCCCTGACATTTTTGGGTGGTCCCTTCTTGGTTTGGGTGGTCCCTCTAGATTTGGGTGGTCTTTTTTCCCACCCCTGACATTTTTGGGTGGTCCCTCTAGATTGGGGTGGTCCCTCCTCCCACCCCTGATATTTTTAGGTGTTCCCTCTAGATTTGGGTGGTCTTTTCTCCCGCCCCTGACATTTTTGGGTGGTCCCTTCTTGGTTTGGGTGGTCCCTCCTCCCACCCCTGACATTTTTGGGTGGTCCCTCTGGATTTGGGTGGTCCCTCCTCCCACCCCTGACATTTTTGGGTGATCCCTCTTGATTTGGGTGGTCTTTTCTCCCACCCCTGACATTTTTTGGGTGGTCCCCCTTTCCCAGGCGAGTTCATCCGCGCCCTGTACGAGTCGGAGGAGAACTGCGAGGTCGACCCCATGAAGTGCTCGGCGTCCACCCTGGCCGACCACCAGGCCAACCTGCGCATGTGCTGCGAGCTGGCCCTCTGCAAGGTCGTCAATTCCCACTGGTGAGGGGGAAAATTCGGGATTGGGGTCGGGATTGGGGTCAGGAACGGGAAATTGGGGTCAGGGATGGGAAATTGGGGTGGGAAATGGGGTGGGAATGGGGTCAACCTGGGCGTGTGCTGCGAGCTGGGGCTCTGCAAGGTCGTCAATTCCCACTGGTGAGGGGGGAAAAATTCGGGATTGGGGTCGGGATTGGGGTCAGGGAACAGGAATTGGGGTCGGAATTTGGGTGGGAAATGGAATTGGGGTGGGAAATGGGGATGGGAATGGGGCCAACCTGCTGCGAGCTGGGGGCTCTGCAAGGTCGTCAATTCCCACTGGTGAGGGGGGAAAATTCGGGATTGGGGTCGGGATTGGGGTCAGGGAACGGGAATTGGGGTCAGAATTTGGGTGGGAAATGGAAATTGGGGTGGGAAATGGGAAATGGGAAATGGGAACGGGGCCAACCTGGGCGTGTGCTGCGAGCTGGGGGCACTGCAAGGTCGTCAATTCCCACTGGTGAGGGGGGAAAAGTCGGGATTGGGGTCGGGATTGGGGTCAGGGAACGGGAAATGGGGTCAGGGATGGGAAATGGGGTGGGAAATGGGGAATGGGAAATGGGAACGGGGCCAACCTGGGCGTGTGCTGCGAGCTGGGGGCTCTGCAAGGTCGTCAATTCCCACTGGTGAGGGGGGAAAATTCGGGATCGGGGTTGGGATTGGGGTCTGGGATGGGAAATTGGGGGTGGGAAATGGAATTGGGGTGGGAAATGGGGAATGGGAAATGGGAACGGGGCCAACCTGGGCGTGTGCTGCGAGCTGGGGGCTCTGCAAGGTCGTCAATTCCCACTGGTGAGGGGGAAGTCGGGATTGGGGTCGGGATTGGGGTCTGGGATGGGAAATTGGGGTCAGGGATGGGAAATGGGGTGGGAAATGGGAGATGGGAAATGGGAACGGGGCCAACCTGGGCGTGTGCTGCGAGCTGGGGGCTCTGCAAGGTCGTCAATTCCCACTGGTGAGGGGGGAAAATTCGGGATCGGGGTTGGGATTGGGGTCTGGGATGGGAAATTGGGGGTGGGAAATGGAATTGGGGTGGGAAATGGGGAATGGGAAATGGGAACGGGGCCAACCTGGGCGTGTGCTGCGAGCTGGGGGCTCTGCAAGGTCGTCAATTCCCACTGGTGAGGGGGGAAATTCGGGATTGGGGTCGGGATTGGGGTCTGGGATGGGAAATTGGGGTCAGGGATGGGAAATGGGGTGGGAAATGGGAGATGGGAAATGGGAACGGGGCCAACCTGGGCGTGTGCTGCGAGCTGGGGGCTCTGCAAGGTCGTCAATTCCCACTGGTGAGGGGGGAAAATTCGGGATTTGGGTCGGGATTGGGGTCAGGAACGGGAATTGGGGTCGGAATTTGGGTGGGAAATGGAAATTGGGGTGGGAAATGGGGGTGGGAAATGGGAATGGGGCCAACCTGCTGCGAGCTGGGGGCTCTGCAAGGTCGTCAATTCCCACTGGTGAGGGGGGAAAATTCGGGATCTGGGTCGGGATTGGGGGTGGGAATGATGATAGGAGCGAAATCAGGGACAGGAACGACAATGGGGATGGGAAATGGGAAATGGGAAATGGGAACGGGGCCAACCTGGGCGTGTGCTGCGAGCTGGGGGCTCTGCAAGGTCGTCAATTCCCACTGGTGAGGGGGGAAATTCGGGATTGGGGTCGGGATTGGGGGTGGGAATGATGATAGGAACGAAATCAGGGACGGGAACGATGATGGGGTGGGAAAGGGGTGGGAAATGGGAAATGGGGATGGGAATGGGGCCAACCTGCTGTGAGTTGGGGGCTCTGCAAGGTCGTCAATTCCCACTGGTGAGGGGGGAAAATTCGGGATTGGGGTCGGGATTGGGGTCTGGGATGGGAATTGGGGTCAGGGATGGGAATTGGGGTGGGAAATGGGGGTGGGAAATGGGAACGGGGCCAACCTGGGCGTGTGCTGCGAGTTGGGGGCTCTGCAAGGTCGTCAATTCCCACTGGTGAGGGGGGAAAAGTCGGGATTGGGGTCGGGATTGGGGTCAGGGAACGGGAATTGGGGTCAGGGATGGGAATTGGGGTGGGAAATGGGGAATGGGAAATGGGAACGGGGTCAACCTGGGCGTGTGCTGCGAGCTGGGGGCTCTGCAAGGTCGTCAATTCCCACTGGTGAGGGGGGAAAATTCGGGATCGGGGTCGGGATTGGGGTCAGGAACAGGAATTGGGGTGGGAAATGGAAAATGGGGGGGGAAATGGGGAATGGGAAATGGGAATGGGGCCAACCTGCTGCGAGCTGGGGGCTCTGCAAGGTCGTCAATTCCCACTGGTGAGGGGGGAAAATTCGGGATCTGGGTCGGGAATGGGGTCAGGAACAGGAATTGGGGTCAGGGATGGGAAATGGGGGTGGGAAATGGGGGATGGGGATGGGAATGGGGCCAACCTGCTGTGAGTTGGGGGCTCTGCAAGGTCGTCAATTCCCACTGGTGAGGGGGGAAAATTCGGGATCTGGGTCGGGATTGGGGTCTGGGATGGGAATTGTGGTGGTAAATGGAGATTAGGATGGGAATTGGGGTGGGAATTGGGGTGGGAAATGGGAATGGGGTCAACCTGCTGCGAGCTGGGGGCTCTGCAAGGTCGTCAATTCCCACTGGTGAGGGGGGAAAATTCGGGATTGGGGTCGGGATTGGGGTCTGGGATGGGAATTGGGGTCAGAATTTGGGTGGGAAATGGAAATTGGGGTGGGAAATGGAAATTGGGATGGGAAATGGGGGTGGGAAATGGGAATGGGGTCAACCTGCTGTGAGCTGGGGGCTCTGCAAGGTCGTCAATTCCCACTGGTGAGGGGGGAAATTCGGGATCTGGGTCGGGATTGGGGTCAGGGAACGGGAATTGGGGTCAGGGAACGGGAATTGGGGTGGGAAATGGGAAATGGGAAATGGGAACGGGGCCAACCTGGGCGTGTGCTGCGAGCTGGGGGCTCTGCAAGGTCGTCAATTCCCACTGGTGAGGGGGGAAAATTCGGGATTGGGGGCGGGATTGGGGTCTGGGATGGGAATTGTGGTCAGAATTGGGGTGGGAAATGGAAATGGGGGTGGGAAATGGGAGATGGGAGATGGGAACGAGGCCAACCTGGGCGTGTGCTGCGAGCTGGGGGCTCTGCAAGGTCGTCAATTCCCACTGGTGAGGGGGAAAATTCGGGATCTGGGTCGGGATTGGGGGTGGGAATGACGATAGGAGCGAGATCGGGGATGGGAACGATGATGGGGATGGGAAATGGGGTGGGAAATGGGGGTGGGAAATGGGAATGGGGTCAACCTGCTGCGAGTTGGGGGCTCTGCAAGGTCGTCAATTCCCACTGGTGAGGGGGGAAAATTCGGGATTGGGGTCGGGATTGGGGGTGGGAATGATGATAGGAGCGAGATCAGGGACAGGAACGATGATGGGGATGGAAATTGGGGGTGGGAAATGGGGATGGGAAATGGGAATGGGGTCAACCTGCTGTGAGTTGGGGGCTCTGCAAGGTCGTCAATTCCCACTGGTGAGGGGGGAAAATTCGGGATTGGGTCGGGATTGGGGTCTGGGATGGGAAATGGGGTGGTAAATGGAGATTAGGATGGGAATTGGGGTGGGAATTGGGGTGGGAAATGGGAATGGGGTCAACCTGCTGCGAGCTGGGGGCTCTGCAAGGTCGTCAATTCCCACTGGTGAGGGAGGAGAATTCAGGGATCTGGGTGGGATTGGGGTCAGGAGGATGGGAATTGGAGTCAGAATTGAGGTCAGGAATGGGAAAATGGGAAATGGAAGCAGGGCCAACCTGGGCGCTGTGCTGCGAGCTGGGGGCTCTGCAAGGTCGTCAATTCCCACTGGTGAGGGGGGAAAAATTCGGGATCTGGGTCGGGATTGGGGGTGGGAATGACGATAGGAACGAGAATTGTGGTGGGAAATGGGGTGGGAAATGGAAATAGGGTGGGAAATGGGAATGGGAATAGGAATGGGAGGAAGAAGGTGGATGGATGGATGGATGGATGGATGGATGGATGGATGGGTGGATGGATGGGTGGATGGATGGATGGATGGATGGATGGATGGATTTTGGGATGGATGGATGGATGATTGAACAGATGGATTTATGGATGGATGAATTAATGGACTAATGAATGGATGGATGGATACAGCTGACCCAAACAGTCCGACAACCACTCACACAACCCACCACCCAAACCCCAAACCTCCCCCCCAGACAAACCCGCCAACACCCCTGACACCCCATTTCTCTCCCCTCCCCATTTCCCATTTCCCCATCCCTCCCTTTTCTCCCCTCTCCCCAGCGTGTTCCCCCGCGAGCTGAAGGAGGTGTTCGCCTCGTGGCGGCTCCGCTGCGCCGAGCGGGGCCGGGAGGACGTGGCCGAGCGCCTCATCAGCGCCTCGCTCTTCCTGCGCTTCCTCTGCCCCGCCGTGACCTCCCCCAGCCTCTTCGGCCTCATGCAGGAGTACCCCGACGAGCAGACGGCCCGCACGCTCGCCCTCATCGCCAAGGTCATCCAGAACCTCGCCAACTTCACCAAGTGAGAGACATTTACCGACCTGAGGGGAGAGGGTCGCTAAATGAGAGCCATTGACGGGGTGGGAGGGATGGGGAGAGGGAGGGGAGGGTGATCAGGGCTCGCCAAGGTCATCCAGAACCTGGGAAACTTCACCAAGTGAGAGCCATTGACCAGCCATTTACCAGCCAGGAGGGGTGGGGAGAGGGTCAGGGAGGGAGGGGAGGGTGACCAGGTGAGTCATTGACCAACCAGGAGGGATGGGGAGAGGGTCAGGGATGGAGGGGAGGATGGGTCACCCTCATGGCCAAGGTCATCCAGAACCTCGCCAACTTCACCAGGTGAGAGACATTTACCAGTCTGAGGGGTGGGGAGAGGGTCACTGAGAGCCATTGACGGGGTGGGAGGGATGGGGAGAGGGTCAGGGAGGGAGGGGAGGGTGATCAGAGCTCACCAAGGTCATCCAGAACCTGGAAAACTTCACCAGGTGAGCCATTGACAGGTGAGAGGGTCAATAAATGAGAGCCAATGAGGATGATGATGATGATGATGAGGATGGTAATGAATGGATTGATGATGATGATGATGATGATGATAATGAATGGATTGATGATGAAGATGATGATGATGATGATGATGATGATGATGATGATGGATGGTTTATAATTACGATGATGATGATGAAGATGATGATGATGATGATGATGATGATGATGGATCGACAATGGTTTCATAATTACGATGATGATGATGAAGATGATGATGATGATGATGATGATGGATGGTTTATAATTACGATGATGATGATGATGGATGGATAATGATGGTGACGATGACGATGATGAAGATGATGATGATGATGGTAAATTATGATGATGATGATGATGATGATGATGATGAAGATGATGATGATGACGATGATGATGACAGATGAACGGTTTATAATTACTCTGACAATGATGAAGATGATGATGATGATGATGATGATGAAGAAGAAGATGATGGACAATGATGATGATGATGATGATGACAATGACAATGATGATGATGATGGATGGTCAATGATGATGATGAAGAAGATGAAGATGATGAAGAAGATGATGGACAATGATGATGATGATGAAGATGATGATGATGATGATGATGATGATGAAGATGATGAAGATGATGATGATGATGACAATGATAATGAATGGATTGATGATGATGGTTGCATGTTGATGATGATAATGATGAAGATGAAGATGATGATGAAGATGATGATGACAATGATGATGAATGGTTATAATTACGATGACGATGATGATGGATGGTCAATGATAAAGAAGATGATGATGATGATGAAGAAGATGATGGACAATGATGATGATGATGATGATGATGATGGATGGATAATGATGGTGACGATGACGATGATGAAGATGATGAAGAAGAAGATGATGTACAATGATGATAATGATGATGACGATGACGATGATGATGATGAAGAAGATGATAATGATGAAGATGAAGATGATAATGAATGGATTGATGATGACGACGATGATGATGATGATGATGATGATGAATGGTCTTTAATTACGATGACGATGATGATGGATGGTCAATGATAAAGAAGATGATGATGATGATGATGATGAAGAAGAAGATGATGGACAACGATGATGATGATGACGATGGACAATGATGGATGGACAATGATGATGATGATGATGGATGAATAATGATGATGATGATGATGGATGATGATGATGATGAAGAAGATGATGGACAATGATAATGATGATGATGATGATGATGGACAATGATGATGATGAAGAAGATGATGATGATGATGATGAAGAAGAAGAAGATGATGGACAATGATGAGGATGATGATGATGAAGATGATGATGATGATGATGATGATGATGATGATGATGAAGATGATGATGATGATGAAGATGATGACGATGATGATGATGATGATGATGGATGGACAATGATGATGATGATGATGATGATGAAGATGATGATTAAGAAGACGATGAAGATGATGATGATGATGATGATGATGATGATGATGATGATGGACAATGATGATGATGATGATGAAGATGATGATGAAGGCTCTCACCTGGGGCAGGTTTGGCAGTAAAGAGGAGTACCTGGCGTTCATGAACGAGTTCCTGGAGCTGCAGTGGGGGATGATGATGAGATTGATGATGATGGATAATGAATGAATGGATGGATATTGATGATATTGATGATGATGGGTGGTTAATTATGATGATGATGATGATGAAGATGATGATGAAGGCTCTCACCTGGGGGCAGGTTTGGCAGCAAGGAGGAGTACCTGGCGTTCATGAACGAGTTCCTGGAGCTGCAGTGGGGGATGATGATGATGGATAATGAATGGTTGGATGGTTTATAATGATGGTAACGATGATGAGTGGTTAATTATTATGATGATGATGATGAAGATGATGATGAAGGCTCTCACCTGGGGCAGGTTTGGGAGTAAAGAGGAGTACCTGGCGTTCATGAACGAGTTCCTGGAGCTGCAGTGGGGGATGATGATGATGGATAATGAATGAATGATTGGATATTGATGATATTGATGATGATGGGTGGTCAATGATGATGAAGATGCTGATGAAGGCTCTCACCTGGGGACAGGTTTGGGAGCAAGGAGGAGTACCTGGCGTTCATGAACGAGTTCCTGGAGCTGCAGTGGGGGATGATGATGAGATTGATGATTATGGATAATGAATGAATGATTGGATATTGATGACGATAACGATGATATTGATGATGATGGGTGGTCAATGATGATGATGATGATGAAGATGATGATGAAGGCTCTCACCTGGGGGCAGGTTTGGCAGCAAGGAGGAGTACCTGGCGTTCATGAACGAGTTCCTGGAGCTGCAGTGGGGGATGATGATGATGGTTTATAATGATGATATTGATGATATTGATGATATTGATGATGATGAGTGATCAATGATAATGATGATGATGATGAAGATGATGATGAAGGCTCTCACCTGGGGACAGGTTTGGCAGCAAGGAGGAGTACCTGGCGTTCATGAACGAGTTCCTGGAGCTGGAGTGGGCCAGCATGCAGCAGTTCCTGTACGAGATCTCCAACCTGGACACCCTCACCAACAGCACCAGCTTCGAGGGCTACATCGACCTGGGCCGGGAGCTCTCCACGCTCCACGCCCTCCTCTGGGAGGTGATGTCGCAGCTCAGCAAGGTAAACTCACCTGGGGGTCACCTGGGCCAGCCATGGAGGTCACCTGTCCAGCCATGACCTCACCTGAGCAGCCATGACCTCACCTGGGGGTCACCTGTCCACCCATGACCTCACCTGGGGGGTGGGGCCGCGAGCTCTCCACGCTCCACGCCCTCCTCTGGGAGGTGATGTCACAGCTCAGCAAGGTAAACTCACCTGGGGGGGTCACCTGGGCACCTGGGGGGGTCACCTGTCCAGCCATCACCTCACCTGAGCACCCATGACCTCACCTGGGGGTCACCTGGGGGGTGGGGCCGGGAGCTCTCCACGCTCCACGCCCTCCTCTGGGAGGTGATGTCACAGCTCAGCAAGGTAAACTCACCTGGGGGGGTCACCTGTCCAGTCATGATGTCACCTGTCCAGCCATCACCTCACCTGGGCACCTGGGGGGGTCACCTGTCCAGCCATCACCTCACCTGGGGGTCAATTGGGCACCCATGACCTCACCTGGGGGTCACCTGGGCATCTGGGAGGGTCACCTGGGGGTCAATTGGGCACCCATGACCTCACCTGGGACTCACCTGGGGGTCAATTGGGCACCCATGACCTCACCTGAGCACCTGGGGGGGTCACCTGGGGGGTGGGGCCGGGAGCTCTCCACGCTCCACGCCCTCCTCTGGGAGGTGATGTCACAGCTCAGCAAGGTAAACTCACCTGGGGGGGTCACCTGTCCACCCATGACCTCACCTGAGCACCCATGACCTCACCTGGGGGTCACCTGTCCAGCCATGACCTCACCTGTCCAGCCATGACCTCACCTGAGCAGCCATGACCTCACCTGGGGGTCACCTGGGGGGTGGGGCCGCGAGCTCTCCACGCTCCACGCCCTCCTCTGGGAGGTGATGTCGCAGCTCAGCAAGGTAAACTCACCTGGGGACACCTGGGGGGGTCACCTGTCCAGCCATGACCTCACCTGGGGGTCACCTGTCCAGCCATGACCTCACCTGGGGGGTGGGGAGGGGAGCTCTCCACGCTCCACGCCCTCCTCTGGGAGGTGATGTCGCAGCTCAGCAAGGTAAACTCACCTGGGGGGGTCACCTGTCCAGTCATGACCTCACCTGTCCAGCCATGACCTCACCTGTCCAGCCATGACCTCACCTGGGGGTCACCTGGGGGGTGGGGCCGGGAGCTCTCCACGCTCCACGCCCTCCTCTGGGAGGTGATGTCACAGCTCAGCAAGGTAAACTCACCTGGGGGGGTCACCTGGGCACCTGGGGGGGTCACCTGTCCAGCCATGACCTCACCTGTCCAGCCATGACGTCACCTGTCCAGCCATGACCTCACCTGGGGGGTGGGGAGGGGAGCTCTCCACGCTCCACGCCCTCCTCTGGGAGGTGATGTCACAGCTCAGCAAGGTAAACTCACCTGGGGGGGTCACCTGTCCAGTCATGATGTCACCTAAGCAGCCATGACCTCACCTGGGGGTCACCTGTCCACCCATGACATCACCTGTCCAGCCATGACCTCACCTGAGCACCTGGGGGGGTCACCTGGGGGGTGGGGCCGGGAGCTCTCCACGCTCCACGCCCTCCTCTGGGAGGTGATGTCACAGCTCAGCAAGGTAAACTCACCTGGGGACACCTGGGGAGCCATCCACGACCTCACCTGTCCAGCCATGACATCACCTGTCCAGCCATGACCTCACCTGTGCAACCATGACCTCACCTGGGGGTCACCTGTCCAGCCATGACCTCATCTGAGCACCCACAACCTCATCTTGGGGTCACCTGGGGGTCACCTGAGCACCCATGACCTCACCTGAGCACCTGGGAGGGTCACCTGGGGGTCAATTGGGCACCCATGACCTCACCTGAGCACCTGGGAGGGTCACCTGGGGGTCAATTGGGTCACCCATGACCTCACCTGTCCAGCCATGACCTCATCTTGGGGTCACCTGGGGGTCATCTGAGCACCCATGACCTCATCTTGGGGTCACCTGAGCACCCATGACGTCACCTGGGGGTCACCTGGGGGTCACCTGAGCACCTGGGAGGGTCACCTGGGGGTCAATTGGGCACCCATGACCTCACCTGAGCACCCACAGCCTCACCTGGGGGTCAATTGGGGCACCCATGACCTCACCTGGGCACCTGGGGGTCAATTGGGGCACCCATGACCTCACCTGAGCAGCCATGACCTCATCTTGGGGTCACCTGAGGGTCACCTGGGGGTCAATTGGGCACCCATGACCTCACCTGAGCACCTGGGAGGGTCACCTGGGGGTCAATTGGGCACCCATGACCTCACCTGGGCAACCATGGACTCACCTGGGGGTCACCTGGGGGTCAATTGGGCACCCATGACCTCACCTGGGGGTCACCTGGGGGTCACCTGGGGGTCAATTGGGCACCCATCACCTCACCTGAGCACCTAGGGGGGTCACCTGGGGGTCAATTGGGCACCCATGACCTCACCTGAGCACCCATGGACTCACCTGGGGGTCACCTGAGCACCCATGACCTCACCTGGGGGTCACCTGGGGGTCACCTGGCAGGTGGTGACCCCCTCCCCCTCCCCCACCTTTTTCCCCCCTCCTGCCTCCTCCCCAGGTGTCCCACCCAGCTGTGGCCCAGCACGTGACGTCACGGGGGTCCCACCTGGCCAGGTGAGCTTCCCCCCCCAGGTGTGCCCAGGTGTGCCCAGATGGTCCCAGGTGTGCCCAGATGGTCCCAGGTGTGCCCAGGTGTGCCCAGGTGTGCCCAGATGGTCCCAGGGGTCCCACCTGCCCAGGTGTACCCAGGTGTGCCCAGGTGTGCCCAGATGGTCCCAGGGGTCCTACCTGCCCAGGTGTGCCCAGATGTGCCCAAGGTGTGATGTTCTCAGGGTCCCACCTGCCCAGGTGTGCCCAGGTGTGCCCAGATGTGTCCCAGGGTCCCACCTGCCCAGGTGTGCCCAGGTGTGCCCAGGTGTGATGTTATCAGGGGTCCCACCTGCCCAGGTGTGCCCAGATGGTCCCAGGGGTCCCACCTGCCCAGGTGTGCCCAGGTGTGCCCAGGTGTGCCCAGGTGTGGTGTTACCAGGGGTCCCACCTGCCCAGGTGTGCCCAGGTGTGCCCAGGTGTGACATTCCCAGGGGTTCCACCTGCCCAGGTGTGCCCAGGTGTGCCCAGATGGTCCCAGGGGTCCAACCTGCCCAGGTGTGCCCAGGTGTGCCCAAGGTGTGATGTTCTAAGGGGTGCCACCTGCCCAGGTGTGCCCAGGTGTGCCCAGATGGTCCCAGGGGTCCCACCTGCCCAGGTGTGCCCAGGTGTGCCCAGATGGTCCCAGGTGTCCCCCCTGCCCAGGTGTGCCCAGGTGTGCCCAGATGGTCCCAGGGGTCCCACCTGCCCAGGTGTGCCCAGGTGTGCCCAGATAATCCCAGGGGTGCCACCTGCCCAGGTGTGCCCAGGTGTGATGTTATCAGGGTCCCACCTGCCCAGGTGTACCCAGGTGTGCCCAGGTGTGATGTTATCAGGGTCCCACCTGCCCAGGTGTACCCAGGTGTGCCCAGGTGCACCCACGTGGGCTAATATGCACCAAGGTGTGCCCAGGTGCCTCCAGGTGCCTCCAGGTGTGCCAAGGTGTGCCCAGGTGTGCCAAGGTGCACTCAGGTGTGCCCAGGGGCACCCACGTGGGCTAAGATGCACTCAGGTGTGCCCAGGTGCCTCCAGGTGCTTCTAGGTGTGCCAAGAGGCCCAGGTGTGCCCAGGTGTGCCCAGGTGTGCCCAGGTGTGGTAAATTGAGCTCAGGTGCACTCAGATGCACTCAGGTGTGCCCAGGTGTGCCCAGGTGTGCCCAGGTGCACTCAGGTGTGCCCAGGTGTGCCCAGGTGCACTCAGGTGTGCCCAGGTGTGGTAAATTGAGCTCAGGTGCACTCAGATGTACTCAGATGCACCCACCTGCACCCAGGTGCCTCCAGGTGTGCCAAGAGTCACTCAGGTGTGCCCAGGTGTGCCCAGGTGCACCCAGGTGCACTCAGGTGTGCCCAGGTGTGGTAAATTGAGCTCAGATGCACTCAGATGCACCCAGGTGTGCCCAGGGGTGCCCAGGTGTGGTAAATTGAGCTCAGATGCACTCAGGTGTGCCCAGGTGTGCACCCAGGTGCACCCAGGTGTCCCCAGGTGCCCCCACCTGCCCCCAGGTGCCTCCAGGTGTGCCAAGAGTCACTCAGGTGTGCCCAGGTGTGGTAAATTGAGCTCAGATGCACTCAGGTGTGCCCAGGTGTGCCCAGGTGCACTCAGGTGTGCCCAGGTGTGGTAAATTGAGCTCAGGTGCACTCAGATGCACCCAGGTGCCTCCAGGAGTGTCCGGGTGCCTCCAGGTGCCTCCAGGTGCCTCCAGGTGCCTCCAGGTGTGCCCAGGTGTGCCCCCTCTCTCCCCCTGCAGGAGGCCCTGCTGAAGCTGGGCCCGCTGCCCCGCCTGCTGACCGACATCAGCGTGACCCTGCGCAACCCCCACCTGCACCCAGGGGTGCCCAGGGTGTGCCCAGGG